AATCTGAATTGTTAGTTCAACTCACTCGACCCCATTTATTTATTCATTGATTGTCCATTTGTGACATTTGATTGTCCATTTGTGACACGAGGCTGGCAGTCTATTTCTTCATTCCGTACTATCCCATGTAATCAGGTCGATCTCAAAGAAGGAATCCAGTCTAGCACCTTTGGCTTCTCGTCAACGTTCGCTTTGGGGTTTCTCTTAGACGTCCGCGTTTCCCCGATCCCTCTATTTTCTATTGCATTACCTGTTTTGTGATTTTTTTTTAAATAGTTTTTTTTAATTCTCAGAATGTGTCCAACGTAACGCCGTCATGTAGCTGCTGTTACTTGTGGTTGCCCAGACATTTCTCTGATTTTTTCACTCCTCTTGAATTCATCCGTTTTTCTGTCCGTCATTGTCTAGTCCACGGTGTTTTTATTTTAGCCTGTCTGGACCCCAACATTTGTTATTGTAAACCACAACTTCTCAGGATATAAGGAGTTAATGAAAATGCAGGCTGGTATCGAAAATGCACACCAAAAACGTGTAATGTTAGTAGAAACCAACAAACGAATGGTAAGGAGTCGCTTGCTACTGAAAGAGTTCAGGCTCAGACCAAACATTTGACAGTTACTGGACATATTCTACGCAGTATAACTCAACTTCCTATCATTGGCTGGATACAACACCACATAATCTTGCATATTCGCCCTCCCCCCTTTTTCAACCTCCTCTTCTTTTCCTCCAGTGAAATGTGTTATTTAGTAAATCTTTGAACCACAGCAGTCGCCTAGTCTGTACTCCTTATATTTTTAAATTATTAATTGGAGCTTTTCGCTTGCTGTTGAAACCAACACTAAGAAACATACAATGAAACTTTCTAACTTAGTTCTAACTTTGATATTTTTTATTACTTTAACAAATGGCCAGGCCCCCCCCCCCCCCCCCCCCCCAAAAAAAAAATAAAATTGGAAAGCATCCTATGACAGCAATTTCAATTATAATTTTAAAGGGAAGAAAACATAGCCAAAGCTCAAAAGCTCTTCAGACAGATCAGACGCAGTGCACTATTGTAACCAAGAATTAGCACTATTGTAACCAAGAATTAGCACTATTGTAACCAAGAATTAGCACTATTGTAACCAAGAATTAGCACTATTGTAACCAAGAATTAGCTATATATCAAATCATGGGGGAAAAAAAAACACTGGATGAAAACTCCCCCAAAAAGCCAGTCACAGCTTCTTACAAATGACTGCTAAGTAATGATAATGTTAAGGCAGCAGAGTTGCAAATCGCTGTAAGCAAAACCTGCCATTCTGTAATAAGCACAATTGATCATCTAAGTGAAATCATGACAGCGCATGGTCGGGGGAGTACGTTGGAACACATACAGTTGCATAGAACTAAATGTTCGTGCATAATAATTAAAATTATTATATCGCCTGCACTTAAGGCTGAAAGGGTTTACGCTTATCTTCCATGTCTTCCTGTGAGGATGACAATCAGGAATTCAATCTAGAGTTTTTGATGAGAAGTGAGTACATTTATTTGGCGTGTTTATGGCGTAATTTGGGTAGTCTTTCGGCTTAAAATGACGCCCCTCCCCAAATCTGGCAACTCTGCTGGTCAGCTTAAAATGATGATGATGATAATGACGCTGAAGGGATGGAGCACTAATGGAAATGCCCTGGGTGCTATGATATCGATTCTCAATTCATCAGTTAACATATATATTTATGGGGGGCAGGGGGTAATTATACTAAACAAATATGTCCTTCCCAGTAATCGGCTGCGCTGTGTCAATTATGTTTCCCCTTCGAGATGAACAGAACAATCACCGAAGGTTGAAGGAACTGAGCTCTGTCCCAGTTTGATAAATAATAAACTAAGTCTAACATCCCCAAGCGCATTTCATTGGGCACAACGGCGCCAGCAAGCCTCAGGATGACCATAAACGTACGAGTAAATGATTATGAGATAGTGCAGTGGTTTTTTGACATCAGTGAGCGCCCCCTATCCGAGGTCAGATATCTGCGGCCCCCCCCCCCCGCCCCGCAATTTTAAAACTCAGTGCATTGGTATTTGTAATAATCTGTTGAACTAACATTTTTGACACAATCTAATTATACATCAAATATTGTCAATGACGCTTTTCTTTTTACACAGGCAGTTTGTACATTTACGGCTAAAAATACAATTAACTACTTCCGGTTATGATTTATGTGATTGTTGTCCTCCAAGTTCTTGTTAATAGTGCTTGGGTGTGTATGTAGGTAAGTTGTACCCCACCAGGACATCACACAAGCGATAAACACCCGGTGACACAAAGTGCCACCATGCGGATGAGGATCACCCGTGGAGAGGTCCCGGAAACCCCGTTCAGCTGTTAGGCCATACTTCAGGCCCGGCTACATTCAGGACACCCAGCAAAAGTCAGGGTGGAGCTTCAAAATAACCAAAAATTGCATCCCATATGGAGACGACGGGATAAACAGAGTGCTTGGGGTGGTGATTTTTTTTTTTGTTTTTCTGTTGTTGTTTTTTAAAGATAGTATTGGGTAGGGACGTTGGGTTGATGGGTGTGTTGACTGGGGTGGGGGGAAGGGGGTGATCCTCTTTTTAATCACATATTTATTATTAAGTTGGGGGGGG